TTCTAAAGCCCTGGTTTTTGCGGCATGCACATGAAGAAAGATTCTTCCCAGATCCATTCGGCATTTGTAACTATGGCAAGACAAGGCTTTACAGTTCGGCTGATCACTGAGTCGAGCGGTCGCGAAAAATTCAGCCGGATGAAGAGAGCAACTGAACAGGGTGTGTGTAGCCAGAGCTGTGGGAACTTTGTTTGACAAATAAAAATAAATATTGAAACATTATTGCATTTTTAACATTGGTCATTGTTAGTACGTTGGTCAGCTATATGCTTCACAAAAGAACAAGAGTCATTAGTAATGAAATCTTTTTGTGAACAGTTGATGAACTTCAGTTCGTTACTTCGCAATGCATTACTCTAATCCGACCACTTTGTTCAGTAACTAGGAAATTATCAAGTTACTATTTCAAATCCAGTAATCAGATTAAAGTTACTTATCCAAATCACTGTGTTACTATTTTCTTTTTTCTCTTGGGTCTTGATCGTCGTTTCTATGCTTCCATTAGCAGGCATGCAAACAATGGAGGCAGGAAAGAGATGCACCTATTGCTGATGGCAAAAACAGGAACAAATTCTGTCTCAAGTCCGATTATTATATGCGACTTTGGGCATTTTTTTTCTGAAGTCATTGCAAATTTAAGTCGCAGCTTGCAGTTTTTTGGACTTGTTTTTAAACGTGAAGTTGCTCATTTGGAATAAGCAGAGAAGTAATAAACCCCAGAATTTGTCTAACAACCAGATCATTTTAGTCAGGCTCTCTCTGTCCATCATTTCCCGAATGATCCGTCCCGCTGTGTCTTTGTTATATAAATGATATTTTATATAACAAAGTAATATACATGTAGTGTATATTGTGGAATGTGTATAAGTATAAGCCATACATGATATAATAACTGTAATATCAATAGGAGTATTTATGATTTTGCAACAAACTACTTGGACAGCAATGTTGTTAGGTTATGATTTTCAGTTTTTCCAATGTGTCACGAATCAAAGCAGTAAAGATTAGCTTAGCATTTAGTGCTTTAGTTAAAGGACATAGCAAAAATACTGCAAAAAGTTTACATGGAATAAAACCAATTACACAAATCCACCAAATGGAAGTTCAATAACTACATAATGAATGGATCTGGATTCTCCTTTTAAATCGTTGTCACTTTCAGGACAATGTTACTCTATGACTTTGAGGGTGAAACTGTTGCTAAGCGAAGCCAAACACTTTAGGGGTTTCCGACTAGAAAGCATGATTCTTGAAAACACCTACCAGATCATGTTTTGCTTTCACCCCCCTGACACTTGTCTCCATAACAAATATGATTGCTGTGAAGTCAACGCCTCCGTGAGGAATAGGCAGCACACCGGTCAATTATCACCAGCTGTCTGCAGTGAGAAGAGCCGTTGTTAGAGCTGCCATAAGACAAGTATTGACACGCATAGAGAACTCTGGAAGGGCAAATGCACCGACCAGGCTTTCCTCAAAGAAATATGATAATGTTATTTGTAAAGGGACAGAGGGTGGACAACACCCCGCGTGTTGATTAACGAGAGAGGCGACTTTCCTCGTCAATATGACATCCTTTGTCCTCGTGATTCGCCTAATACCTGTTGATTAAACACTGAGTGATGACGCCTATACTCGGAGGTGACCCCCTCAAATCTGTAAAGGAGATAAATTAAAGTCCTCCATCAAAAGGTGATCAATGCCACAAAGCCCCTCTGGCTGAAATGGACGCCTCAGTATAATGAAGCAATAATTTAAGTTTACTGCTTGCTAAGTGAATGATGGACATTGGAGCACAGCATGCAGAGATTTTTGAATGTCAACGGCAGTTTTATTAAAAATACCTACAAAAGACTACATTTCTATTGTAGTCTTTAAGGTTCTTATCCCAAAGCAACAGGAAAACCCTCTTAATGTCTTTTACTGCATTTTTTAGTATACTGTATTAATTTCATTTATATTGTGACTGAAGATGCAATAATTTAATTTGTAATGATTTGAGAGTTAATCTGACCACATGACTTCAGAATAAGGAAGTAAAGATATTATGACTTTTGAAAGCTGGCAGACTGATTTGGGAAAACCTTATCCAAAATTTGAGATAACTTAATGTCACGGTTGGGGAAGCAGAACAGTTGTCCCATCAAACCAAAAAAACCTGGTAACATCGTTCATGTTATCATTAGCACACACAGCTCAGTGTGAACTCGCCAGACTGCACATAGAATAAAAGACTTGTTGAGTCCAAATGACCCCATCTCTTAAGGATTAAAGACACAGCATTAAAAAAAACACAAATAAATACATTACAAAATGAACAAATTAAATGAGAAAAGTTCAGACTCTAAACATTTATCTAAATATATTCCATAAAGTCCGTTATTCCCCACATTAGCTGCTCATTGTGTAAATAATTTATATGATGTTTCACCAGAGACTGACTCACTGAGTTAATTATTATTATTCCAATTAAACATAACTAATCTCAAAGTGTAATGTCAAAAATAATGAATTTAAAAATCTGTTTATTTAATCAATAGAAGTCAAATTCAAAACTATATAACGAAGCAATAAATTACACACAGATCAAACTAGTATGTGTGTAGAAATATACAGCCACCATCCACTTTATTATACCTGTCCAACTGTTCATTAATGGGAAAAGTTAGCATCAACAACATGAAAGGATTCACTTGTATCCACGGTTCAGGATGGTGGTGGTGGTGAAATGGTGTGGGGGATATTTTCCTGGCACACACATATTTTATGTGGTCCATTAGTATCAATTGAGCATCGTGTCAACGCCACAGCCTACCTGAGTATTGATGCTGACCAAGTTCAACCCTTTATGACCAGTGTACCCATCTTCTGATGGCTACTTCCAGCAGTGTCACAAAGCCCAAATGATCTCAGACTGGTTTCTTGAACACAGCGAGTTCACTGAACTCGAATGGCCTCCACAGTCACCAGATCTCAATTCAGTACAGCAACTTGGGGATGTGGTGGAAATGTTGCAGAGATTTGCATCATGGATATGCTGCTGAGAAATCTGGAGCAACTGCGTGACACTATCACGTCAACATGTTTGTGAGGAATGTTCCCTTGCTACGAAGGACTAAGTTAGTTCTGAAGGCAAAAAGGGTCCAACCCGGTACAAGCAAGTTGTACCTAATAAAGTGGCCTGTGAGTGTATTTACGTATAATTTTAAGCAGTAATTACCTGCTTTCACTCAGACTTTTGCTCAGACAGACATCTGACACAGTAGTGACTTGCATTGGAAAGCAAAACCAATACAGGGCTACTTTCCAAAAATGTAGTAATGATGCTCCTACACAGGTTTTGTTCCACTGCTTGTTCTGGGCACATCAGTGGCCCACTAGAACTCCATTTTTATTGTTATCAGCTTTATTTGAGGAGAAGTGCTGCCTCTGACAGCAGCAACCAGGAAGAGAATTAAGTGGGAATACAAGATGGACAGAGAGACGGTTGGATTACTTGTCCTTCAATCCAGCGTGTCGCTCCTTAATCTAGTTTTTTGGACAGAAAACTTAACCTATGAGCCAACTTGTGGTATGAATTTAACCCAGGCCTGGAATCAGTCCACACTTGATGCAGGAAAATCACCCAAAGTGGGTTATATTATAACTTTTACATGTTGCATGTTTTTGTTTATATTCAGAAAATTTCATGCAAGAGCAGAACATTAGAACAAAATAAAACCTGTACATATAGGAGTTATTAATGTAGTTAAGTGCAACAGAGCAAAGGAAAAAAAAATAAAAATACACAAAAAAATAAAAATTAAAAACCAATCGTATTCTGCTTTGTCATTCTTTGCATCGGCTCCATTGTGCGTACACCCGTTGCCATAGCAACAGCTCTGGCAACAGTTCCACTTGCTTATCAGGATTTAACATTAAAAACATGCAAACATTTCCCACACAGAGAACAGAACATTGACTCCATTACAGTTTCATGTTTTCAAGCTTGATGTTCATTTTGCAATTATTAATAAGTGATGCTGGTTGATTAGCTAATTAACCCCTGCTTTACTGATTGTCTGTCAGAGTTTCTTGTGGGGGGTTGCCTTTTTTTTACTGAACCAAACCACACTGAATTCCACAGCACATCGACATTTTAGATTTGTCAAAGTCAGGTTAGCATGTTTGATGTACTTCCTTCTCCATCTCTATTTGTGTTAGTTAAAACTCTTTCCTGACCGTGTGAAATGTGGAACCCTTAGACCTTGTTATGTAGATGTCATAGTGTGGACAATGAGTGTAGTCTTCCAGCAGAAAGTTTGGGGGCAACATGATGTCAACGTGTCTACAGTATAGTAGTTCAGGTATATTGTGTGTATATCTTTAAAAGTAATTTCTTCATGAATACCGAGTTGTTGACATTGCCCTTATGTTAGTTAATCTATTATGTTTCTCTGTGTATTATCAGGCCTTACTGTAAACACATGAATAATTGGATCTATATTCATTGATGTTTTACTTTTGTTCTGCCCTTCACAGATCCTAATACATCCTAATGTATAATAATACTTAATAGATCAAATAGATCTTTGTAGAAATTTGAATTCATGGATTTGTTTTTACTCCTGTGAAAACTCCTAGCCTGATTTCTGATGAGTTCAAGAGCTGAAGTGAAGTAACGTTTGTCGTGTCTGCTCCTTAACATTTAGGATTATTTGATCAGTGCAGCGAGCAACAAAAGGAAAACACATGGCTGCAGGGAAAGCTGAAATGTAATATCCTCGTGTCATTAGAGGTTTACTACAACAATAACAGCCCCGCAGAGCCGATTCCACATGCTTTTTATTATATCATCTATGAGAGAAAATACGACTGCTTCTGTCTAATCCACCTGAAGCCACTTCTCTCAAAACCTGGGCTCTTACACTGCCACCTGCCCCAAATACATATGAATAAGGAGTCAGACTCTCACAAAGGCAGATTTGGCAGCATCAAAAGTTCTTAATAAGATACCTTACCTGCCAGGCACCCCATAAGTAACTGCAGCAGCAGTTTCCATAGTAACATCATCTTCAATTTTGAAGGGTCAAAAGTGTTTTCACATCCAATCACAAACGTATGGAATCCGATTTGCACTTCTCTCCTTTGCCAATCTGCGGAAGAAAAAGAAACCAATTTATTAAGCACTTTTTTGTAGCAACTTTATAAATAAATTGGGCATCCTTCGCTTGCCGAAGTCATCCCACACGGTGTGGAACAAGGAGGATAGTTGGAGCTTGACAAAATGGAAAAGTGTTTAAATTTAATTCAAAAACCATTGAACTGAACCACAACATACAGGTTTGGGGGAGTAAAAAAATCTCAAAGAAACCCTTCACCTGACAGGAACGGGACAGGAAAATGTTCATTTCTGTATCTGCAGCAACACAACAGACAGAGCTGCTTTCAAAAGCAGCTCCAACTCCCATACATTGTCATGGTATTGTTCTTTAGGAACTCTTCCAACTAACATGCAAAATAAAAAGGGCAAAAGCTGTAAAACAGAGAACACCAGAGAATTTCTCAATGTGCTGGCCCTTTTTCCTGAACATATTCTCTATTCAGTCTTTTCCCAGGCGGAAAGGCTGACAGTTTAAAGTTTTCCCAGAAAAACCTGAACTTTATAGGATAGACCTCAGGGAAAGAAAAGAGCCTGAAATTATACATGCAGCTAAGGTGGAAAAAAGTAAAAAACCTGTCACTACATTTGAGAAATCAATTTATTTAAGTGTGCCTACTATGCATAGCATAATAATACCATCTAACTGTTGGAAGAATTCACAGAGGCACATCATTTGAAATATCTTTGAATGTCTCTTTGGGCTTCCAGCTTTAACTTTCAGAGACGATTACACCCGATAAACATAATAAAATATTCTAAATAGGCGTGAGCAATATGAACTTACAATTTTAACACAATATTTTATTTTGTACAGTGATAAGGATGGAAGTGATGAAAAAAACTTCTTTTCAGCCCTTTTTTACCTAATTGTATGGCTCTGACTGCATGGCAATGACAGCCTGAGAAAACCCTGGAAAACCGCAGAGCATCTAGCAACTTTAGCAGCAGCAGGAAGGCTAATGTGGTGGCAGAATGTTTGACTTTCTTGTTCTGTCCAGCAGAAAAAAGATCAGATTCAGATTTTTTTTCTTTGGCACATTTTGTATTTCTGGTAGAGCATGTAGAACAACTTTACTTAAATGTACAAACACTCAGAGACTGGGGTTACATGGTAACAACGCTAGTGGTGTTAATTGCTGATGAAAGTTGTTGAGGACTAAAAAATGTTAGTCTTGATTTCATTTCACAAAAAATACTAAACACCAATATTCTTACAACTTTTTGCCCCTTCTCTCAAGCGCTCACGTAGAAACCCAGCATAACTTCACCCCCATTCATGAATTAATGAGGGTTCACATGCAGATATATTCATTAAATTGCTATTATTGAGTGAATTAGGTGATGGATGTAGCAAGTTTTCCAACCGTTTTACTGTTTTCTTTTCCACTTGAAAAAAACAAATTTTTTTAAAGAAATAAATCATGATGTCCCAGGTCTGTTTTCACACCCTCCTCAAGCAATTTAACATGAAAACAGACCATATTAAAATACACAGTAAAATGAAGTACAAAATTAGACATAAAGAAACAGTTGAGATTTGAGTTTGGATCTGAAATGTGGCAAAGAGTTTATGTTACAAAAAATATAAATAAAACACAAGAAATTGCCACAAATTGGAGCATGTACCAAACAATATTTCTGTTATCGATACAGACGTGGAGCATCGCCAAGCATTGGGGGTCATTTCCATAGAGTCAGCCGTGCCCCCTGCCTCTGGACAAGAAACAGTTTTTTTTTTTTCTTTTTTTTTTCTGTTTTTTTTCACCTCTGAGTGACCAATTTTCTATTATTCATTTCCTGATTTGCTACGGTAGGGGCTCCTGCATTTCCCATATCTGTGCCCTCTGTACCTCACACGTTTTTTAGCCATTGCAACTGTTCAATCCATTGTTGATATAACGTGGCTTTCCGAGCTGCCTGTAAACGCAACAGTCCCGAGATGCTTGCGCTGCTTTTTCACTTGTACAACAGCGATTGAGAACTGCTGCTGCTATGCAGAGCGGCACATTGTTGTGTGTTAGAATCATGGCAGCAAACAAGCAAAAGGCAAAGACGTTGCACAACTTTTTCCCCTTGAGCTAACAGAGGAGGTTGAGTAATGCTAAATGGTGACTGGCTAATGCCAATGTATCACATTAAGCTTGTTAATAAGAATACGCCACTAATTTTATTGTTATGTATGTTCAAAGTGGGTATGTTGGGTTACATACTAGAGTAACTTTTCATAAGAGTAGTTTTACTGCACTACTGTTTTTCTTTTTAATAATATTTCTTCTCTTATTTGTGTAGATTTATTTTTTATTAAAACAAATAAACTTCAGAGATTGGAAGCATTAGCTCCTTAGAAATCTGCAAAATATGAGCTCATGTTTATGCATATTTGAGGATAAACACTCAGCATTTTATAAATGTCATGTTGACAGCCTTATTGATTATTTTGTATTAATAAACACAATTATTTTATTTGAAAGGTTACATACAGGTTTGTTTATGTATTTATATTAAAGTAAACACTTGTTTAGTTCCTCCTGAGCAGCAGTGACTGTATCGATGCACCAGGTTCAGGATGGCAAATTACAATCCCAGGCAGGAAATATAAAAAACAAACAAAACAAAATGCAATGCAATGTCAGTTCATTTTTCCAGAAGGTCAACATGGTGTCATCAGTTATCTTTTCTAACAGTTCTCTGGTGCTATGTCTGAGAAGAACTCTAAAATTAAAAGTGTTATTTCTTCACAATCTGTGTTTAGGGATGTATTCTGGTTTGATTGGCATGCAGGGAGGACATGTGGGAGTGATTTGCAAGCTGGCAATGAGAAGTTTATTCACACTGACCTTGAATTACTTGGCATCAATTTGCAGTATTGGCTGTAAATGCTACCAGTATGTTTTGGTCTTCTGTGGTAAATCACTTCACTGAAATGTGTGCATTTTTTTGTGAACAAGCTCAAGTTCAGATTGGGTCAACAGAATCTATGAATATCAGTTTTTAAGTCTTGATGCAGATCTGGATTTTCCTTCCCTTCTACATGCATAAAGACATATTCCATAAATCAGAATATTACTGAAAATCCTTTTATTTCAGGAAAGTCAAAGTAGGAAACACAAAAGTGTGTCAGCCAGACATTTTGTTTCAAACTGTATTCAGTTCTTATTTTAACTTTATTCATATGTTTGAATCTGTAAGTGAAGAAGTTTTCATTATAAGACATCTTTAACAATAACAATTAACAACAGGATAAATAGCCAGCCATAAAGAACAACAGCTGTGTACAATTGAAAGAAAAATTTCAGAAATATGACAAAACCTCAAGTCAAGTGAGGCTTCAAACAACCTAACGTGGTCTGAGCTAAAAGAGAGCAATGCACAAACACATGAACAGACAGCATTTACTGTATGATAGACAAATACACTCAGGGTGAAGAAACATGTCATGGAAAAATACATAAGAACAAAATTTGACGCAAACCAAAGGCAACACATGCTGCTAAAAAAGGACTCAAATATCTTCTAAGCATGGAACTAAAATATGTGGTTTCTAATGGTGTTGTTGGAAAAGACAACATAAAGAGGAAAACAGATGTATTCAGTTTGAGAGTTAGTCAAAGAAAAATATAGATTAAGTTTTCCAAAAGGATGTCAAAGGCTGAAAGTGAAGCAGCTGCGCTGTTGTAAGGATTAAACAATAATACCGAGCAAGGAAGGAAATCTTTCAGCAGATCTCCCCTGGGACTCAAGCTGCAGTAATCTATCACATCCAGTGTTAAACAGATTTAGACTTTGAGGGATGTTTCTCAAAAACATCTAAAAAAAAACACAACTATGAGACATTTTGCTCTCACAAAAAAGTGAAGAAAACTCTTCTATTCCCCTCCTGCTGAAATTACAGACAGCAGAAAGTTTTAAAACACGGCAAAAAAGTGGGATGAAACTACTGAGAAACACATAGAAGAAAGCATCGGAAACTGTTTGAGCAGGGCGCGCTCTCATTAATCTCACATTCTCTACCTTCCAGCTCTGTCTTCAGTCTCCACCTACAGAGGAAAGCTCTTTTATCTCCATACATCACATGGAGGTTTGTCAGACTCTGTCTCAGGTGCATCAGAAGTGCAAGGCTTTTGCCTTACACCTAGAGAGCAGTTTCATGCATATTAAAGAGCGTCTTATGAAACCACCAAGGCTTGTGCCTTTTGGGCTAATGCGTAATTTGTTTATGCTGCTCATGTCCTTTCAGTGTTATACATCGCCACTATACGATTAGTTGAAGATAGAACACCTAATCCTCGAATATTTCAACACACGTTAAAGAGACAATGTCTACAAAATATTAATGTACACATTGTCAATGTGTAAAATGTGTATTCATGTGTACAATGTGTACACATTCACAAACTTACTGAGAAGTAAAATTTCTCATGTGAAGCTTACTCACATATTATAAGTTTCACAAACAATATGTGAAACTTGAAATTGAAGCATTTTCTCTTGAGTTTATAAACACTTCAATTCTCTCTACATGTCAGACTAATGGAGATCTCAGGCCTTATAGACACATTTCAGTGACACCAAGATTGTGAGATCTCATCCCCAGTATACTGCTGGATCGCAAAAAACAGCTTGTTGACGATGACTGTCACTGGTTTTCCTGTCAATGTAACACACTAAATCTTAAATGTAGATGTGATATACAGCCATGAAGAGCCCAATGAACTGAATCCCATTGAAACGCTTCTGGTTATTCCACCAAATATTGATTTCTGAACTCTTTCTGAGTTAAAACATTCGTATTGCTGTTTCTAAAGGAATATGAACTTGTTTTATTTGCATTATTTGACGTCTGAAAGTGCTGATCATTTCTCATTTCTGCAAATAAATGCTACATTTTTGCATGGAATTTCAGAGACATGTTGTCAGTATTTCATAGAATAAAAGAACAATGTTGATTTTACTCAAACATACCTATACAATGTCAAATCAGAGAAACTGATC